TGGCCTCCGAAGCTAGTCAGTCAAAGAAGTATATGGATGCGGTTGCCTGATATACTACCTTTGAGATTTTTGAAGTTAGGTGGGACTCCTGGGGAGCAGGTCCTGCAGCCCTGAAGGAACTGTGGACGTCACGTCCCCCTGGCCGAGAAAACACATGTCCTGCAAAGCTAATGCTCCGCCCCCGTCTCCCCGCTAGGGTCAGGCTCATCCTGTTATTATGCTGCCACCCACCCCCAGGACAAGCATTTATATCGGAAGGCATTGTCTTATATAACGGCCATCAGCAAACTCCCGCCCATGGGCCAGACCTGGCCCACTGCCTGTCTGTACAGCCTGCGCACTCAGAATGGTGTTTATTACATTTTTAAATGATTTTTGAAAATTAAAAATATTTTGTGACATGGGAAAAGTCTATAAAATTTACACTTTAGTGCCTATAAAGTGTCACTGGGACACAGCCAAGCCGTTACTCATTTACATGTTATCTGTGGCTGTCTTTAGCCACCGCGGTAGGACTGAGGTATTGAGACAGACTGTAGGGCCTGCAAGACCTAAAATATTTACCCCCTGGCCCTTCACAGGGCAAGGTTGCTGACTCTTGCTCTGCATGGCTGTTAGGTCTGTGCAGACAAGATCCAACTCCAACTTACATCTGTGCATGTTGAGTCGTACTGCTTTGTCTCGGTCGATCTCAGCAGCGTCTCTCAGCTTGCGACTATAGGGAGTTTTTACCTTCTGATTCTTCATTAGGGCAGCTCCATGACTTCACCCAAGTCCGAAAGTAAACATGGGTTGCTCCTGGGTCCTTGTGCCTCTTAAATCTCGCCACCCCCAGATAAGCCCAGTTTAAACCTGCTTTTAAAGTGTGAGCACCTAAGTGAGTAGAGAGGAGTGAGCTAGACCCAGTCCTATTACTGGTAATATGAATTGGAGGTCAGAGCGTAGGACAGAATGCTGGCTCTGGATATCGTCATGTAGGTGAGCTCACGCAGGTCCCTGCATCTCTGGGCCTCAGTTTCCTTCTGTGGGAAAAAATGGAGATCATAGCTGTCATTTTGGGTGTATTCAGGACTTAATGAGATAATGTTGTAAGGCTTTTAGCATCGCGCCTTGGCACGTTCTACAATAGTCTTAACATCATTAGCAATCATATTTTAGCTACAGAACGTTGGCCATGTCTTTGTTAGTGGACACTCGTTTCAAAAAAGGATTCACTTGTTTCAGAATGCTTCAGGAACGGTTACATGCCAATAACATTTAAAAATCATTAAAAGATGCGTTTTAAAAAAAGGTTTTTCTAGTCTACGGCCACGCTACCCTGAACAAGCCCAATCCCGTCTGATCTCGGAAGCTAAGCAGGGTCGGACCTGGTTAGTACTTTGATGGGAGACCACCTAGGAAGACCAGGTGCTGTAGGCATAAAAAAATTAAAAAATAAGGGATTGTAAACTGACAAGGTCCTTGCAATCTGTGAGATCAAATAAGAGTTGCCTCGCCTAAAAAAAGAAAAAAAAGTAAAAAAAGAGTGTTCTAACTCTAAAAGTATTATTGCTTTGTGTCGAAATCTTAAAATATAGATGTATAAAATAAGCTAAAGATGTCTTAAAGTCTTATTGTGCAAAGATAACTAATAATATCGTGAACTATTTTCAGTTCTTTTTATTCATATATGTAATTATAATATTTACATATATGTAAAACTGGGATCAAACTGCCTAGCCTGTTTTGTATCCTATTTTTTTCACTTAAAACCCAGTGAGCATGTTACTACAGCATTAAACATTCTCTGAAATCATGGTTTAATGGCTATATAACATCTAGTGCATGGGCTTACTGTAAATATTTTTGAATATCTGCTTCTAAATTATTTTCAACATTGAGAAGAGAGAAATCTCTCAATGACATATAGTACATTGTCTCACTCTGTCTTAAAAGCCGCTGAGATTAATTTGACACTCAATACCGTCATGATCACATAACTGGTAGAAGAAGCACTGGAAGTCACCCTCATAACTGGCACCCTGAATGGGAACCTGGGGCTGTTATACATCCCTCGCTTTCCAAGTCCTTATATGTCTTGTAATGTCCTATTTTAAGAAGGAAAAAAAAGTTAAAAGTGGTTTCCCTGAAAGTCATATTTTTGAAAGGCCAGATCATAAATCCGAAGGAATTTTGTATCACATAACGTTTGTTTTTTGGTATCAACATAGATTCTAATTTCCTTTTGGAAAGTGAGTTTCTGATCTTTTGTGGGGCTTGACAGAAGTCCTGTCTCGTGTATGCAGAGTTAGGGAGGGAGAGAAATGAACATTCACTGGAGCAAGCACCACCATTTTTTTAAATACTGAAGATGATGTGACATCATCTCTTTATTTCCTGATTGTACACGAAACATTCCTGTGACAAAGAATTCTGGGGAGTTATTTTTTTTACCTAGAAGTAGGGCTGTCAGATAAAGTAGGGGACACCCAGTAAAATTTGATTTCAAATAAGCAAAACGTGATTTGCTTAGCATAAGTATGTCCCATGCACTATTTGGGACACATTTATACTAAAAAGCGATTTGTCGTTGATCTTAGATTCAGATTTAACTCAATGTGCTGGGTTTTGGGTTTTGCTTCGGTTCGGTTTTTGCTAAATCAGGCAACCCTACGTAACGGTTCCTCCGTTGTGTACTACAAATGCTAAATCTGTAGGTTTATTATATAACATTCTGCTTTTTCCTTCTGACTCTTTCTCGGTAGTGGTTGGATTGGACAGCAGAAGCAAACACAGCTCAGAGGATGGCTTTGTTACCGTGAGTCTGAAGACAGACAGAGGTATAAAGTTTCTTTTCTATGCGTTCAGCTTCCTGTCGAGTGGACACTTGTTTCTTGATTTTTGAACACTTATTTCTTGACCTTTGGGTTTTAGGGAAGAGGGCAAATTCTCAAGAAAACCGTAATTATCTGAGACTCTGGACTCCAGAAAATAAGTCGAAATCAAAGAATGCAAAGGATTTACCCAAATTGAATCAGGTAAGTAAGTGCTTGGCAGTTCAATTCATTCATTTCAAACCCTGAAGCTCTGTTTTCTCATCATAGATAAATGTAGAATAAATGCCTCTCAAAGATCATGGTAACTTGGGGTGCTTCGTTAATATCCGTTTGTATCTATTTTGTACATCAAAAATATGCTTGGTTGTGAGAAAATGACCTCTTCAAAGGAAATGTGAATCACGAAATACCCAATTTTGAGAGTACACATATGTCATCTCAATCATTAAAAATACTCTGAAATACTCCAAAAACAAGGTATGCTGTTTTTAAATCACTGCTCAGCTATGAAGATGTCTGATATATTTTTCCTTAAAAAGCTTAAATGTAATGAGGGAGATAAAACAACATCAATAATTATAACACAGGATAGGAATGCTAAGTTTCCTAACAGAAAACAGACAAATCACCTGGGGTCGGGGTGTGGAAGGCATTTTTTTCTGTCCCTGGTCACCAACCCATGTGTCATGGGAGAGGAGATCTGAGCTAACCTTGAAAGATTAAGGTGCGTACTAAAGTGAGTAGATGTTAAATGAGATGAGGTCTGGGATCTACTTAAGTTCATTCGACAACGGATAAAAGCGATAATGAAGCAGCTGTATAACAGGCACTCTTGACTCTAGTTGATGGGTGCGTGAAGGCTCATTATTCTGTTCTTTCTTCTTTCATGGATGTTGTGAATTTTTCAAATTTAAAAAAATGGAACCATCTATATAAAGAGACTTTAAACAACACATCAGCCCACCTTACATATAGGACTTTTCGGGGATCTTTTCATAGTCCTAATGAAAAGGCTTTGCAGCCCACGTCGGTTCTGCCTCTGTGCCCCCTCCCCGCTCCATGAGGTAGTCACATTGTCTGTGTTTTCCCACATCACCTTTCAGGGGCAGTTTATCGAGCTGTGTAAGACCATGTATAACATGTTCAGCGAGGACCCCAACGAGCAGGAGCTATACCACGCCACGGCCGCAGTGACCAGCCTCCTGCTGGAGATCGGGGAAGTGGGCAAGCTCTTCGTCACCCAGCCTGCCAAGGAGTGTGGCAGCGGGGGCGGCGGGCCGTCCTGCCACCAGGGCATCCCCGGAGTGCTCTTCGCCAAGAAAGGGCCCGGCCAGCCGTACGGGGTGGAGCCGGCAGAGTCGCACGCGGCCAGCTCGGCGGGCGACAGCGAGGAACACTCCCTAGTGGGGCAGATGGAGGACATCAAGCTGGAGGACAACGGGGCCTGCTCCTCCATGCTGATCTCCGACGACGACACCAAGGACGACAGCTCCATGTCCTCGTACTCGGTGCTGAGCGCCGGCTCGCACGAGGAGGACAAGCTGCACTGCGAGGACGTCGGGGAGGACACCGTCCTGGTGCGCAGTGGCCAGGGCACGGCGGCGCTGCCCCGGAGCACCAGCCTGGACCGGGACTGGGCCATCACCTTCGAGCAGTTCCTGGCCTCCCTCCTAACGGAGCCCGCCCTGGTGAAGTACTTTGACAAGCCCGTGAGCATGATGGCCAGGATCACCAGCGCCAAGAACGTCCGGATGATGGGCAAGGCCCTGGCCTCGGCCAGCGACTACGAGATCTCCTCCATGTCCGGCTGACCGGCGCCGTTCCTGGGGAGGCGGGAGAGGGCGGGACAGTGTCTTTTTTACGTTCTTCTGCGTTGGGGTTTCTTTCTTTCTTTCTTTTAAATTAAATATTTATTAGTACCCGGCTTGAAGCCTAGTGTTTTCATAATATAATACAATGAAAACTGTTGGAGAAATATTTAAACACCTCGCTGTGGGTACAGCACACTCTCTCGTCGGGGGGAAGGGGGGTTTGCCAGAATGCAGTTTATGCAGTGAATTCCAAAAAAAAGATAAAACCTGTCCGTGATATGTGTGTATTATAACTTCTTAATCTTGCCGTTGAGCTGTGTCCATGGTTTAAAAACAAATAGTGCTGTTTAAGGCTAGAGAAAGCAGCAGCCATTTGTGTATTGGGACTTTTTAAGTAAAATCAGAGCTATAAGGTAAATGAAGTGTTCTTAAATGGAATAGGCAATGTCGGCTGGGGTAAATCCCAGACCACTTTGGGGAGCATTAAAAATATTTTTTAAGATTTGAAGTATATTTCATAGACGTCCTCTATTCAAAAATCATGTTCAATCGACGTTCCCCTTCAAGGGGAAAACATTTGAGATTCTAAACTATTATGAAAGTGTAAGTGTTTTTTATGTGATGCCAGAATAACTCTTCTATTAGTCAATTCGGACAAAGACCAACCAATTTCGCATTAAAAACCAGTTCTGGTTATTTATGTCAGCTGCCAGAATCAGTGAAAATGAACAGTCTTTTGTTACAGAGAACCCGAAAGTGGCAACGAAGATGACAGAGGGCTCAGGATTTTTTTTGTTTTAGAGAGAAGAAAAGTACTGATGCTTCTGATACTGTATTTTCAGCTTCATGTGACTCATTACGAATAAAGCAAAAAAATAAACTTTACCCCTTCCATACTCTCCATAGATTCAAGAAATTATACCATGTGTCACATATGGCCATCTTTCTGGTTAAATCAATGTAGAGATGTTGTAAATGGAAAAAAAAAAATACAAACCTGCAAGATAACGTAACTGAATGTTTTAAAGCAGAACTTGTCACTTTATATAAAAGAATAATCGTATGCTCTATTTCTTGAAGGGACGTGGAAATGGAAACTAGCACACCTGCACTTTGGAGCGTGCTTTTTTTTTTATTACTATTATCGTTTTGTCTTTTACAGATGTTGGAGGTTTTTCCCTCTTGTTGTCGAATTCATAATCACGGTCATATTTTTTTTGCTTCTTCAGAATATTCCTTTTGATGCTTTATTTTATTATACATTGTGTCCCTTTTTTAGCCGTTGCTGCCATTTTTTATTTTGTTTACAGAATGATTTTTAAACTGTCAAATGAAGTAGTGTTAACCTCAAATAGGATAAATGTGAACAAATAAAATACATCAGATACTCAGATATGGCTTTTATCTCGGTGCTTGAATTCCTGCCTAAGGCAATAACATTATTCTTTTGAAATTTTGCAGGAGAAATTATATTCGGCAACCATGTTGACTAAGTAAACATTTTTATAAACAAGAATTTTGAGATAAATACGGTACGTAGTGATGCGCATATGAATGCATGTATTTAAAACAAAGAAAGGAATTTTTATCAGTTATCCAATTATTTAGCTTATCCTACATAAGTGATTAAAGGGTGAAAATCCCTGTTTCATCCTTATTAGTGCACTGTAATACCATTTGGTATGTATTTAATCGAATAGTCATTTATTTGATTTGACTCTAAAATTGTTACATGTTATTCTATCATGAGTTTCTATCTTTAAAGTCACTTAAAAGATGCCTCAAGAAATTTGTAAAATCTGATACCTCAACCTCGCAAAAATCAGAGATGGATTTGGGAGGGGAATAAGCATGTGTTTAAGTGTATAGCCCTCCATAAAACAGAGGAGCCAGAATTTCCATTGTAGAGAAAGAGACTCTAACTGAAAACAAATGTCTCTATTGATGCCATTGGAATATTGTCTTTATTTGTTCAAGCACACCGTAATGCGAACATCATAGAGCCATATACTCTATAATGGCAAGTTTTAGTCTGCATTTGCATCTAAAGGCTTCATATGAAGGAGCCCTGAGCCTCCAATTATTTCCAGCTTAGGCTGTGAGACAAATAGGCTTGTCAGCTCATTCATCTTCAGCCTCCAGAAGCAGTCAGTGCCTTTCAAAGAGCATTTCCTGAAAACAAAGATTCAGGTTCCTGTCGAGTCTTTAATGGTTGGGTTATGTCTTTTTAGTATCTCTATGATCATTTTCTTGGGTTTCAACTTACTGTGATTTCCTTCCTTCTTCTCTGAATGGTCACTTTCCATCTAGCTCTGTGATGATTCATTCTCCGTGCTAATAATCATTCCACCGCCACAGCTGGCAGGCTCGATGTCTCTATCCTGAGAGCCTTGAACTGGCATCCCCAGGAGCTTCCAGCCCCAGAGCACTGGCCATCAGCCTCAGTAGAGTTTCCAGATATGAAAACTTGAAAGTGTAAGCTACAGCTGGGGAAAAGGAAGAACCATTTGGAGCCTGGATGCTAGGGAAGTGAGTGTGCTCGAAAAACCACAGATCCAGCCACGCCATCCATCCAGCACGACTTCAAATCTGATTGGGAGCAGGAGGGGGATAAGCTGTATGGAAGTGCCACAGAGGGGCCAGGGGCACCGAGAAGGCTTATGTGCCAACAGTCCCTCCCCCTCCAGCCTCGTCATGTTCCAGCTCTGTCAACTGCCACTACACTTGCTCTTGGCACTTCTGGACCTCCCTTAATGTCCATTAAACTTCACTAATCTCAACTCCATTTCCCCTGATTTATGGCTGCCATCTGTGGTGGCCACTCTGTAATCCCCAAATCTTGAATCATTATAAACATCTGCCTTGTTCAATACATCTGGGCTGCTGTTCTCACTCCTGTCAACGGCCAGTGCTTTCTCCTTCCACATTTTCCTCGACATGTGAAGTTAACGCTCTTTTAATTTTTACTAATCTGACAAGTGAAAGATGATGTTTCATTTTAATTTGAATTTCTCTCATAGTAGGCAGGTTGAACAGGTTTTGAAATGTTTACTGGTCCTTTGGATTTCCTTTTGGATTTGTCTTCTAACTTTGGTGTATTTTGTTCTACAATAGTGTGTAGTTTTCCTGAGATCTTTTTATATACGGCTTCTGTTTTTTGTTGCTTTAGTTCTTAAATGCCATCATTATGGCAACAGTGAGAGAACAAAATGTAATGGAATGAGGTTATTAAGTATAATGAATTGCTCCACCCCCACTGAAGACTTTCCAAGTGGAAGATGTATTTCGGAATGATATTTTTAAGTCATTTGTGTTTGCCACAGAGCCAACCTGATGCAAGCCTCCATCTAGACCCGTCCCACAGATCCTAATTAATAGCTATTCTGTTGTATCCCCACTAGGGGGTGATGTTGAGCTAAAGACCATTCCCCGTGACTGAATTTGAGGCCCCCATTCAATACATATTCTCAGCAAAGTTTTACTTCTGCGGTCAAAACTGAAAGGATACATTCCTCTATAACGCTCCAGACAATTGGGGCAGAAAAGAAGGGCCGAGCTTTGAATTCAAGGGTAACTGAAAAAAAGCTTTACAGAAGCATCTGCTGCAGGCTGCGCTCAGCAGAGACAATCCGCTGGATTCTCTTAGGGACGTGGGAAGCTGAAGGATCAAAGGAAGAAAAGATTACATGGAAGATGGATGACGTCCTTCGTGACGCGAACGTTACCAAACATTAAATATTTCCACAGGATCTTATTTCTGCTTAAAATGTCATCTTTTCTAGGTTCATGTCCCTAAGCTGGCAAAATTTCCCTCCACGGCCCCGCGAGTGCCTTGCTTCCACCCGTGCCAGCCCATCTCACAGGGCCCAGAGCACTGCCCTCCACAGCCAGGGCACTTCGGGCCCCTCCCACCGGGGCGCTGGCCGGGACACAGTCCCTGGTGGCCTCCGCTGACAGTCATAAGCTCATGACGGGGGCGGAGGTCGGTTTTCTCCATTTCCTCCATACACACGTCCAAAAGCCTGATCAGGTGGCACTCCTCAACCTCTGAAAGGTCTGCGTCTCCGAGGGCACTTCATCCTGTTGCACACTTTGTTTCTCTGCAGAGGCGGCAACCTCAGCGGCTCTTTGAAAAGCCGCAGTCATGCCATTTTGCCTGTATGAGCCGCCTTGGGCACTTGAGAAGCATTGCTGGACACCTGAGACCTATCCGAGTTCCAAACTGACTGACCCCAGTCCAGATGGCTGGAGTAAGATCAACATGCCCAGGCGGTTAAGGGCTGAATGGCTGTTACCCGTGAAGGTGGCAAACTGTTCTTCTCCCCACAGTCTGGCAAAACCCATATTTATAGAATAATATTTTATTTTGTTTTATTTTTTAAATCTATTTTTATGGTGACATCGGTTAACGAAATCCAATAAGTTTCAGCTGTACACTTTAACAGTAAGGCATATATATGTTTATACTGTGTTCACCTCTCGTAGTTAGATTTCTTTCTGTCACCACATATTTAACCCCCTTTACCCCGTCTACCTCCCCCTCTCCTCCCCTACCTCTGGTAACCACTAGTCTATTGCCCATGTCCATGAGTTTCTGTTTATTTGTCATGTTGCGTTTAGGTTTATATCCCACATATAAGTGATACCATGAGATTTTCAACTTTTTCTATCTAGCTTATTTCACTTAGCATGATTATCTAAAGGAGAATAATATCTTAATAAAGAAGAGGATCTCAAAGATCCTAGTCCCAATGCCCCAGTCTTACAGAGGAGGAAACTGAGACTCAGAATGTCTTACTTGATTTGATGGAATAAACGTAAATCTGGCAATCTTCAGTTTCAGACTCATCTGATTTCCAGACCTCTCAAGAAACTCAGAGCTTTGATGCTGGAATTTGTCGAAACATACGTTAGGCTCAAGCGCGCCCATTCGCGGTTTCTCTTTGGGCATCACTGGTATTTCATGGTGCTTTTCTACACGGCCCTGACGGGAGCCTCCCCTCAGGATGTTTATGTCCTCAGTGCTCGTCATTGGCACGTGCTGGACAGACGGGGATGGCTGTCCATTGTACTCCCTCTGTGACCACAGGCCACCTCACCCCCAAGAAACACTGGAATTCATTTAGTAATGGGAATCTAAAGTTCTGCTGGTGTTTAAGGCCTCCTCATTCCTGATGAGATAGCAGAACCAAAGCCTCCCAGCTTTGCCCTGCCTCCTCAGGCTCCGGTCTAACCTCTTGCTTTCTCTTGCCAGTAAGTTTATATTGATCCAGCGCTATCCCTTGGCTCCATGTCTTGGCCGTACTGTCTCGTCTGTCTGGCACGACCTTACTCTCCACATCTCGTGGCCCTGTCTCTTGCCCGGGTTACACCTCCTCACTCTTCAAGACCTAGATCTGTGTGGACCTTCTTCAGGAAGCCTCCAAAATGCCCATGGTCTGGGTCAGGTGCCCTTCTCTGCTTCCAGGTCACCTGGGTATATTTCTAACACTTACTTAGCACGCTGTATCACCATCGTCTATTCATGTGTCTGTCTCCTCAGACCTTTCACAGTGCATGCAGTGGGTGCTCAATAAATGCATGTGGAATCAGACATTCATCGAATAAACGACTCCACGAATTTTAGAACAACTCCAGCCCAGATGCAGATCCCTTTCATTCCCAACTAAGAAATGCTGAACGAGAGAGTTCAGCAAAGGATCTAAATAGAGAGGGCACCCCTCAAAGGGACAAAGGCCCAGAAACCTGGAGTAGAGCATCGTGCCAGAGGACGGGCAGCTTGAGGTAAACTAGACTCCAAGCGAGCTGCTTCACCGTGAAACTCGTCTGGGCAAACCCTCCTGGAGCGTGATCAACAGGTCATTCTACAGATCCTAGGACAATATTGGAAGGAGGCTAATCTCTTGCTGTAAGATTCGGGCATTTTAAAATCAGTCACATGTGTTTCCAAATAATTGTATTAACCACACAAGTAAAATGTAAGAGAGCTTTTAAGGAATTTCAAGCACACGAATACATAGGCACATTATAAAGAGTATTTTTAACCCTGTCCTTTCTCTTCAGAGACAGCATCGTGGGCACCTCGGACATGGGACACACTGAGTGCCCTCGGGGAGGGCCCTCATCCCCTGCTCCCTTAGCATTTGACTCACCGTGCTCAAACGACAAAGTGAAAATGGTTGAAGACAGAGATTTCTTTATTTTGCCCTGCTCCGTCACGCTATGGCTGAACCAAAATCCATCCTATTCTTTATGTCATCAGAGCTTCATCTTTCCCAGACACCTGAGACCAGCAGCTCACCACACACGGGCTGCAATAGGCCTGCCCGCGGTCCGTGCGCTGGCGAGAAGGCCTCTGGCACATCCCTGACTTGGACACAGGCCAACAGCATT